CATTTCCTCAAGGGTATTTTGAATCTGAAAGAGCTTCACTGAGTGAGAAGTAGTGTTAGGAACTCAGCAGACAGTTTAAGTTTCACTTTCACTTTCACCTACACCCGAGAGCCTGCAGGAAGTTCGGTTTACAGACATGTCCCAGGGGCGTTTCTGGTACCAAAAGGTGTTTCTGGTCCCCACCTGTCGTTTTGCTCCTCAGCATGGCTTCCTAAAAACGCTGCAGGATTTCTCAAACACGCATGAATGAGTCAGAGCAAGGCTTCAGGCATGTTTTTTATAAGAGTATAACACTATAACATGATATAAAACTCAAAAAGTTGATTTTACATGATATTGCCCCTTTAAATTTTTCATAAGTTGGCATTAGCTGTCTAAAACGTCACAGTGTGACATGGCCTTTCATTACACTGCCTGCCAAACTTCATAAAACGATTCAGATTTAGTTTTTTATATATTTCTTCCTAAATATAAACATGAGAGCATCATTTTCATCCAGACTGAAACAGAGACAAACACAAAAAGAGAAAAACATCTCAATGACTAGATTTATGTTGCACAACCTATGCATTTACCAAAGAAAAATGCTGGTTTCCAAACACTTTTTTCAAATGGCTTGGCCGTGAGTTTATTGCTTACCTGGACAACTTCATCATCCTCCTCCAGGAGACCTTCCAACACATCTACGGCCATCTAAAGCACAGAAAGAGACGAAAGGAAAAACTAAACAAGTTGGGATATTAAGACAGATTTTCAAAAACGATTTTCAGATAAAATACGACTGGTCAACATACAGTAAATATGACTCAATCTAATTTAAGGATTAAGAAAAACTCAATTCCTCCCAGCAATGATCGTAAATATTTTTCGCACAAACGAGAGCTGCCGTCGCCGGCAGTGTTGTGCATCTTCCAGGCAGTTCTATCAATGTCAGCGATCAGAGGGTCTGATAAGCATCGAAGAGGTCAGCATCCCATACACCATGTCATCAATACCAACAAGACAACAGACACGGCAGTCAATACACACACTCACCGGTGCTTATCACCCAGTCGATAGTCACTACAGCCACTGTCTCTGATAGCCCTTTTAATCTATTTACTGACACTGTGTTCTAACCAACACCCCCGCCCCGTCCCCCCCTCCACTCCATACACTACCATGCCTAATAAACGAAAGATCAACTTGACGCCCTGTCCATAATCCTCCTACTCTCCAGCTTCGTCTGATTTCCTCTCTGTAGTGTTCTGGAGAAGCGGTTTGAGACCTCAGAGGAATTAAATGTTCAGTGACCTTTGTGATAGTGTTGTCTGTGGGAAGTTTCCATTACAGAAATCAGACCTGGACTAAAGTAGGCTGAGTGTTTGTTTTTCTGCAGCTCTCTCCATGTGAGACTAGCGGCTGCCGTGTGTGTGTGTGTGTGTGTGTGTGTGTGTGTGTGTGTGTGTGTG